TTATTAATCTCTCAAACATAAATATTGCTGCATTAAACTTACCCATTAAGTGAACTTAGCAAAAGTCTAGAAATATAATACATGTGTATTATAAGCAGATAGCCCTTGCATACTCACTACCTTGTGCAGCAATCATTTGAAGTTACAACAGTAGTAAAACCAAAACTTGCATTTACAGCCATTGCAGTGTCACACACACACACCGTTTGCATGCTTCACACAACAGATATACATTTGCAACTGTCACACAACTTTCAGTCATTGATCGCCATTCGCGTACTTTATAACTGACACACATTTTTGCTTGTGACAAGCAGAATTAATACTATACAATGTGGAAGGTGGAAATAAAATAATATGCGTGTCTCCTATACCCTCCCAATTAAAATCATTGTATTTATTCTCAAAGCTGTTGATTTTTGTGGGCATCTCAAAAATGGGTTCAGCTGATGTTTCACTGATGAGATTGGATGTCAGATCTATGTGCTATCTTATCTAACTGCTTCTGTTACTATATTTCTTTTGACACAAAGTTGGGCATTTTTTTTTGTTTTTCCCTCATGGGGGTTTATTTGCTGATGCAACAGGTATGAATAATTGGAAAAGGCTATATGGCCCAGTGAGTTCAAAGCGAGTGCATGGAATTGAGAATTTTGTATTGTACCCACTGAAATCCAGTGGTGTCCCCATAGTGCTGAATGTTTTTGTCATCACATGGTACATAACATCTTTTGAATCTGATATGCAAGGATTAACTTCATACATTTTTATGTAAAATATTTAATAGTTTCTTCCCAGATAATGAAATTATTCAATATTTTGCCACCAATTATGATTGTACCATTTTAGGTATTTTAAAAATGCATAATCGCACATGCATTTAAGTATGGATATATGTGATATATAAATAGATGAGATAAATAAACATGTTTGTTAAATCTGTTTTTTGGTTTGGGAATGAAAACACAAATAAACTTCCAGAAAATAGTTGTTTTTTTGTATCTTTAGTAATGACACCAAAGTTCTACAAATTGTTAAGTCTTTGGTTACTCAACTATAGAAAGTGGGCTAAACATGGGTGGATTAATGACTAACTGTGATTTGAATTACCTAGTTACAGTCAGGGCAACCCATCTCCTGATTATTTTTCTTAACAAGACTTTATTCACATTGCTCACCAAAGCTATATAAATATGGGAATTGATTTTGCTTCTCCTCAGGTCTCATACAAATCTTCATTCCTCTAATGCTGAGATAAAAAACATTTGCCTGAATAAGATGACAATTGAAAACATAACACATTTACAGCAAACCCAGATAGTAGCATTCTGTTTTTGCAGGTATAATTGGGCCCTGGTGTACCAGAAACTGGGGAATATGATTTCTATTTATCTGATGTTTCTGGATTAGTAACAGCCCTTGCTATTGTCAGTATGAGAAAGAAGGCTCCTACTGATTTTAAAACAGAAACTAGAGGTCTGTTTACTTCATCTGTTTGTTTCCCTTCCTTTCCCATCCTCACACATATCACAAATAAAGACTACCAATGAGCTCCTGAATCTGTCTCTCAGGTGTGAACAAAACAGAGACAAATGGGAATGAAGATCAAAAACTCATAAATAAAATTGAGATTATAGGTTTGAACATTGGGGAAAATGAAGTTAAAGAATTCTTAATCTATCAAAAGAAAAACCCCCACTAATTATTTTGAGCCCTCGTGGTGCTGTGATTAAAATGCATTATTATAGGCAACACTCTGCCCACAGCCTGTGATTCTATCTTTTTTTTAAAAAAAAAATTTTTTATTGATTTTTAAAAACAAACATAAACAAACAAAACATAAAACATAAAAACATAAAACATCTTTTTTGAAAGCAGCTTGATCCCGGGTTACATCTCTTCGTACAGACACAAATTCCAATTCATGCTCATTTTATATACCATTCCATATCTTGTTACCATTCTACATTTTCTATATAGCTTCTCCCCTCTTTTAACTTTTTTAATTTAATTTTATTTATTTCATCTCAGTTCAGATCATTATACTTATATTCTTTGTCTGTCCTGTTTCCAGCTGTCTATTATCTTTCTCATTAAACAAAATTTTTCCTGTAATCACTGATTGGAGTATGACGCCTTTATCTCTTTCCCCTAAATTTATAACACTTAGTATAATACATAACTTCCATTCAGATTCTGCTTAGTACGTTCTAAAATTATACACTATATTTTTAAAAAAGAAAAAATTATAAATATATAATATAATTAAAACAACCATCCATACCAATTCAAATCTATCGTTAATATTAATATTCATTTAAATCTTAAACATTTTACCCATTACTTTTCAAACAAGTATCATACTTCTATGGGAACACTTATAAACTTTCCATAGTTATTTCCCCCCCCACACTTCACTTATATTTTAAAACATTGTATCATTAAAATGTTCCCATTCCTTCCTAATTCAATTCTCTCATTTATTTCATTTCATTTATTTTGTTCACAAAAGTTTCACTGAATTACACTGAGTATTTTATCCCACTTTTTAATCATATGTTGTTTCCAATTTTCTAACATTATTTCTAATACAAATATAACAATACAATCTTATGTACCTTTGCAGAATCACTTTTTCAGTTAAGTTTTTACCCATTATCTCTAAATAAGTCCTGTTTCTTTACATCTTGCTCCACACCTTTGTAGCTTCTCTTCCCTTCCTTCCTCTCTTGCTTCTTCTCTCTGCCCTTTTTACCCCCTTGTCTCTCCACCTCCATTTCCCTCTTCTGTATTCCCCTTTTCTGTTGCTTTCTAACATTATATCCACTTTTCACCTTATTTTTCCCTTTTTTGGTTGTTTTTTTAGGTCTTAAAGTCTCCATTTTCTTTCCCTCCTTTCCCCTTTCTTCCCCAAATAAAGTTACTTGTTCGTTAAAGATGGCTTCTTCTTTGTCCCAATCTTCTTGTTGCGCAGTCTTTTCTTGTAGTTTCTCGTAGGTACAGATTGCCATTTCTAAGAATTGAAAAACAGAGCCAAGAGAGCCCTTCCCTTCTTGTTCCTCTTCTTTGTATTTTTTAAATTCCATTTTCAGTTCATCCACAAGTGATGCCATTGTAAAAAAATTGTTTTCAAACAACCACCCAAGTGTTTTTAGTCATTCAAATATAATTTCCAAAAGTCCCAAAGTCACCAAGCAATCCAAATACACACAAGCTGTTTCTTTTAACACTTTCTTTTTTTTTCACTTTCTCTTCTTGGGGTTACTGTTTAGTTACAAAGTTCCAGTTAAAATGTATCTTTTAGAAGTCTTGTTAGGATTTAATCAGATTCTTTTAAATTCCAGGCAGTCTCCTCCTTCCGAATCCTGCTCTTATTCTTTTCCTCTCCCTTCCCACTTACAGCAAAAAAAAAAGTTTTTGTTTTTTTTAGTGTTCAGAAATCCTTATTGTCCCCATGACATTTAATTATCCAGTTTACCTATTAATGCCAAAGCGGGTTTTTCCGATTTCTCATTCATCTCTGTTCGCTGTCAACGTAAGGAAGGAGAGTGAAAAAAAACTTTTCCTTTTCACTTTCATTCGCTGCTTCCGAATCTTCCTTGGGAGCGATGTATATTTTTTAAAAAAATTAAATTCCAGGATACCTTAGTTGTTGCTTCTTATCCCAGTCAGACAAAACTTTCACTTCTTAACTTCCTCCTGCACTTTCTTTCCCGGATGAGTGCTTCTTTGAGGCGGCCATTTCTGACCGCCGCTCTTACCACCTTCGGGAAAGGGAGTTTAGCCAGATGGGGAGGAAAGATGCGGCTTTCCTCGACCCTGCTGGGATCTCCCCCCTCTTCGCCACCTCTACGGGGTGGCTTAGCCCCAAAGCCAACTGGCTCGGGACGCTCCAGCGGCGAGCCCAGGCAGAAACCGTGCACGATCGCGGAGTCCTGCCTGCCGCCAAAGCCCTGCAAACCGGAAGTCCAGCCTGTGATTCAATCTTGATGGACCTCAGGGTTGACTCAGCCTTCCATCCTTTTGAAGGGTATAGAATGCACAGAAGCAACATGAGTAGATAATAGAAGATACTGTAGTATGTTGTTAAAAATATAATCTTATTATAACAACTCTTCAAATGTTAATCTGACTCAGATTTTCAGTAACTGCATCCCCCCTCCCCACGCAATATTTTTCTCCACTCAATGAAACTCTGTTGTTTTTCTATCTGTTTATTTAAATTGCTTTTCATACATCTCAAAATAAAGCGCACAAAGTCTGTTTCTCAACCCATAGTGCATATCGATGGAAAGAAAGAATTGTAATGCTGCCAAGTTGGATGGCGAGGTCATTGGGACACAGATTTAATCACACGGAAAGCATTATGAGGCCCCAGTGAGGAGAAAGGAGAAGGCGGTTGACACAAGGGCTAAGGAATGTGAATATTAAACTGTGACATTTGTAAAGTTCTGTGTTTGCAGTCACTGAAGGTGGTGTCTTAGCTTCTATATAGTGTTCTCGTCTTTGATTCAGTAGTGAACTCGGTTGTCTCAACATGGAACTAAGGACATAAAACTGTGGAAAAAGACTTGGAGGACACTGTAAGGGACATTTTTCATTGACATTTCACTCTATATCCTATTATGATCCTAAGGGATGATGTGTTTCTCCCATTGCCATTTTATGATTTGTATTATATGGCAAACATTTTGCCAGAAAGTCATTGAGGCTTTTAGCAACAATAGAGATGTCAGTACTTAGGGCCCTATCCAGATGTTAATCCACTGTCCTAACCTATAAAATCTTCCCCACAGGTTCCATTGTATATAGTACAAGTTTTACATTTCTTGCCCTGATGTTCACTTCTTCACTTATTGTATATATTGTCAAAACTTTCTGGATCTTTGTCATGAGCCTCTTTTGTTTATGACACACTGCTAGTAATAATGAAAAAAGATGAGCTCTTATATAATCAAGATGTTTCTGAAAGTATTAATGCATGCCTTTTTTTTTTACAGCTGCCTGTCCTGTGTGAATGGATCCTTCCCTTGCCACTGGTGTAAATATCGTCACATTTGTACTCACAATGCAGGAGACTGTTCGTTCCTTGAAGGCCGTGTAAACATGTCTGAGGTATACACCCACGTCTGCCTTTTTTGCTCAGTGTTACAGTTGATCTGTTTTCTCCTCTTGTCTCTTTTTTCATTTCTTAGATGATACAGCCCATTTCATTTAAAGAAGGATCAAACCCAGGGTTCAAAAACAATAGTAATCATTTGATTCAATATTGGGTAATCCATATATCTACTTAAGCATCAGAATAAGAAAAGACTGAGGAGACTTGAAATGTTGCTGTGCAGTAGAGATTTAGACAAAGATGTGAAAGTTTGGGTTGTACAACATGGGTAGAATATGGGGAAACCTAGAGGTATGCATGGTATTGGGCACCTCTAGATTTTCCCTTGTTACATCCCTGTGATGCAAGCTGCACAGACTTCTAATTTTGTTTCAGGTGCAGTTCAAGGTTCTGATTATTATCTTTACAGCTCTACATAGCATAGGACCAGGACCAGGTTCAGGCTGTTTGCTGGACTGCCTTTTTTTTTGGACATATCTGTCCATCCCACTAGATTGAGTAGGAAGGGGATGCTCGAGGTCCCTTGGAAACATTATCATCTAATGGAACCTTGGAAGTAGATTTTATCTGTGGCTGCCCCTCCTTTATAGAATATATTGCCCTCAACAATCCAGAAGGCCCCCACTCTTTTAGTGTTCCTGAAGGCCATTAAAACCTTGCCATTTACTCAGGTACTGGGGTAGAGTGTTAAAGCCTGTAAAAGGTTGTTGGGGCACCCTGGAAAATTGATTGAGTCACTGGGTTTTTAGTTTTTTAAATGGTTTTTATAGTTTTATTGTTGTCAGCTGAGTTGTTTTAAGGTGGGTGACCATAAACATACAAATCTTTTAAAGTAAAATATAAAATAGTATAGAAAGGAAACTATTTTATTTGTTTTTTGTATTTTTTCATAAATGTTTGCAGACATCTTCACTGTATATTTTATATGGTAAAAAAACATAATATTGTTTTCATTTAGTATGTTGTATTTAGTTGCATTTAGTTGCATTTAGTATGAAGTAAGTGTTACAGGGAAGGGCATTCCAAAGCTTCCCAAAAGTTGATCCAGAGATTTAAACAGACATGACATTTGCTTGGATAAACACTAGTCTTGTTTATCATGCGTATGTTGGAATGCTCTGTTTAACAAAGAAACCGAGTCTTTCAAGAACTAGAGGATTTAACTTCTTTATCCTTTTGTAGTTTTCTCTTAGAGTCCCTGTGCAAACCATTAAGAAAGAAGCCCACAGGCCAGCAAGTCCATTTCAGAGAGGTCACGGTTATCTTCTCTAGGACCCTTTCTTCCTTTTTCTTCTCTCATCTTTATCAGACTGTCATTTTAGCCTTCAGGCATTTTATAAGCTCCTTTTCTTGCTCCATTATCTGAGGACTCTTCTAACCAAAATAAGTTGTAATGGTAGACAGGGTTTTTTTCTTCAAATTACTTATAAATTGGCTTTCAGGAAAACTGTATGCATGTTTACATCTAAAGTCTTAAGGAAAATTGTAACATATAGCTTAAGTAAAACATCTGTTTTAAAAAAATGCTGTGATTTTTTTATATCTATTCCACCTTAGTTAATTTAATCACTGAGTGATTAAAGTATTTGAACTGTCAAGGAGAATCAATAATTATAAGTGACAGGGCACATGCCCTGCGGAAATGAGTCAACTTAAATTCTATCTTCAAACCATAATTTGAATAATTTTGAGCTTTTATCATTTGACTTATTCCCCTAAGGAATAAGTAGAGTTTGGCTTTTGATCTGCAAGGGGACAAAAATGCTGAAATCTAATGATATATTGGATAATAAACTTGGATAATAGAACTATTTGGGTGGCTGGGTTTCCTTTTTAATATAAAACAATTAACTTTTATATTTCTTGCAAAGTGTTAATTCTTGCTACTCCCTAACAGCTAGTTTCTGTTTCTATTAATTTTATTTATGCATCAAATTTACAAGGCTGCCCATCTCATGAAAAGTTACTTTCATTCACTTATGATTTGGATAAGTAGCAAAGTCTGTAAATTTACCTGGGTTTATCAATTCTGTATATTGAAACATCTCATGTTAGTTTGTTTGGAGAAAGTAGTCCTGTTTAAGAATAAAGCTAATTATACTCACTGGTAAAGCAAGGTAGAGCCTTCAGAAACTCAAACAGCTGCTGACAAATATTCCTGGTGAAATACCAGTCTGAAAAGTCAAATTCAGTGCAATTCTATGGATATAATGTATGTACTGTGCTTTAAAATGACGGGTAAATTTAAAATATAGAAGTATATAACAGAATAATAGAACAACAGAGTTTGAAGGGACCTTGGAGGTCTTTTAGTCCAACCCCCTGCTCAAACTCTATAACATTTCAGACAAATGGCTGCCCAGTCCCTTCTTAAAAACCTCCAGTGTTGGACCACCCACCCACAACTTCTAAAGGCAAACTGTTTCACTTGTTTATGTTCTCATGTTCTTATGTCAGGAAATTTCTCCTTAGTTCTAGGTTGGTTCTCTCCTTGATTAGTTTCCACCCATTGCTTCTTGTCCTCCTTCAAGTGCTTTGATCCTTCTTTTCATTAAACTAGAAATACCCAATTCCTGAAACCGCTCTTTATATGTTTTAGCTTCCAGTCTCCTAATCATCTTTGTGCTCTTCTCTGCATTCTTTTTAGAGTATCAACATTTTTTTTTATATTGTGGCAACCAAAATTGGGTTGTAATATTCCAAGTGTGGCCTTACAAAGGCATTTTTACGTTGCACTAACACTTCTTATGATCTTGAGTCTATCTCTCTGTTAATGCAGCCTAGAACTGTGTTGGCTTTTTTGGCAGCTGCAGCACACGGCTAGCTCATATTTAAGTGATGGTCTATAATGTCAAGGCTTGAAATGTTCTGCCTAGTGACAGTTCAGTAATGTTCAGCATTATTTCATTTAGAACAGGCAGGTATAACTCATACCACAGAAAATGCCACACTGACACAATAAAAAGAATAGTGGACTACCAAGGAGTATCTGGTGTGCTGATGTGTGTTCGGTGACTTCCTGCAGCAATAGCAACGTCACTGAGGATTGGAGGCATCAAAGGCACTCAGCAGCATGTCTTCCAGAGGGAAGGTGGTTGTCATGCCCCTGGTGGAGACTGACTCTGAGTCAGAGGAGGAACAGCTGACAGGGAGTGGAAGTGTGGCTCCAGAGGTTGTGGAGGAGGCTGGGGAAGGGCAGAGGCTGGCTGGGCAGTCAGAGGAGGGCCCAGGCCCATCCCCTCTCCATCCTAGGGCTCACAGGGAGGAGAGGATAAGGGAGAGGTATGGTTTACTTGGGAGGAGAGGGCTTTGACCTTCTTCATGGGCTGCAGCTGTGACAACTGAATAAGAGGACGGACATATGTACGGGCGACTGGAAACAAAGTACGGGCGACTGAAAATATATTTAGTTTATGATTCCTCTCTGAGTTTGGCTTCCTTCTAAGTGTGTGTTCTGTTATCTGTGGATGTCCTCCAGCCCTTATCCTGCCTGGTTTGTGTTGTTTTTTCCGTCCTTCTTGTAACTGCTTGTGTGGGAGTTTTTTTGTCTTCCATCAAGGATATTTGGAGCTTGGAAGCAAAGTGAAGAAATAAAAGGGGCTTCACCGGGTTTTTGTGACTGTGTTTATTTTGTATCCCCACCCTGGGTCATCACAGTGGTTAAGAAAAACTAGTGGTGGTGGTGAAGCCTTCCTGATGATGGTAACTTTTAGCAAAGGGATTTGTTAAGTTTTCAAAAAATGTTGCACTAGGCTGCTTGATGGTTGCATGTGGCTTTGGGTCATATGTTGTGCAGGCCTACTCTACATTTTAAGGTTAGAATGCAGATAACCTAAAAACATATTTATTCATTTATAACATGAAACAAAAACTAGAAGATGCAATTATGAATCACCATAGACTTAATGTCAGTAATCTTCAGCTCTGATGGAAAAGTCTCTGAGGCTGGCTTCATTGGTAGTTCTGTAGACCACTATGTGGTATCTCATAGAAACAAGATGAATTGGACTGTTTGGGACTATTATTTTAGTTTTATGTCTTTCAGTTTGTCATCTTGCTTTATGAGCTGGACAGCATGTGCGATTTTCAGATAGTTATCTGCCTATTTGTTTATGAAGAAATTCACAGTAAGAACCTGAAGCAAATTAAGAACACATTCCTGTAGCTATTTGTGTGCTGATTAATAGATATGTATATTGTAAGCAATATTTGGAAGATACTTGAAATGCCAATTTAACTTGTGAAAATCGTTTTGTTTTGCAGTCAGGTTTATTTCACCATAAAATTCTCCTATGTCTCCTCAAAGTATAAATTATATACTATAAACTATATTACGTATAAACTATAAACAATTGTGTTATGTGTTAAAAGACATTTTGATATTCAGTCCTGTCAACAGGATGTAAAAGAATTGTGGTGGTGGTGCAGTGGTTAGAGTGCAGTACTGCAGGCTACTTCTGCTGCCTGCTGGCTGCCTGCAATTTGGCAGTTCAAATCTCACCAGGCTCAAGGTTGACTTAGCCTTCCATCCTTCCAAAGTGGGTAAAATGAGGACCCAGATTGTTGGAGGCAATAGGCTGACTCTGTAAACCACTTACAGAGGGCTGTAAAGCACTGTGAAATGGTATATAAGTCTAAGTGCTATTGCTATATTTCTGTCATTTGCAAAAATATATATATATCCATATTTAGTATACCACACCAAATGCCTCTGTCCTGTACTATTGCTATTTCTGAGTATCATGGATCAGTAGCTCTATTTATATAAAAGCTTTTGCCACAATATCATTCTGGTTTGTAAGGGTCCAGGTTGTCTTCTGGAAAATGTAGGCTAGAAAATTAATATCAGTTGGAGCCCGTTACACTTATGAGTAAATATATTCTAAGAGCTTTTTTTAATATTACAGATTAAACATTCTCTTTCACATACAATGCTTCCCTTTTGCTTTCTGACTTCCTTGCATTATATGCAAGAAGCTTATTTGTTTTTTTTTAA